CAACAGAAACAATTAAAGTAAGAGATTTCAGGAGCAAAGCTTGACAGGCACATTTAGAAGCACAAGTACAAAAGCAGCCTAAGCCCCCCTTTCACTTGTGTCTCGCCTATGTTCTCTCTGCAAAAGAAGGCTGTCTGTCCAGGTCATGAAATACCAGTCGCCCTCCCGTTGTGGTCTGTAATTCCTTGTCTCCTTTGACACACAAGATGTTCTTTCCTGGTGAACTGTGGGAGAGCCCGAGAGCCACTCAAGTTACATTGTGCAAAGATCCCTCACCTCCTTTCGTCCCAAGCCTAAGCAACACAAACATGTTGCTGTCCCCAAAATAGCAGGCCAGCTTGGCTGGGTTTCTGCAGCCCTGCTCTTCCTCCTGGGTTGGGTGCAGGCAGGGAAGTGCCCAGGCCAGCTACAGCCAAGACTGACCCCATTACAGCAACCAGACCCTCACGGCCACACGGACTTCTGCCAACTGCAAAAGCTGCAGTGAGGTCATTCTCCTTGATGAAGACAGCAGGCACTTAGGATTTTAATTTACAATAGCTTTCAAATGTAACTTTAAAAACTAACCAACAAACAAATCAAAGCACAACCTCACGACTAATTGCAGCATCTGCCCTCTGGGGGGAAGGGTGCTGGTCTGGTCGCGTGGACATTTCTCCAAGAAGTGTTCAACCAAGCCAAGAAAAGACAGTTTTGTTGATAACAGGAGAGATTGTGCCAGCTGTTTAACTATGAAAGGAAAGGAGCGGCAGGGAGAGGGGATGACAGAGAAAATGTGGGATCCAGCATCTGTCACTAGGTCACTGGGTTCCCACATACTGTTGCGGCTCAAACTCCCTCCAGACTCCACATGAAGCCGTTGCTGGCAAAAGCATCCCAGAGATAACAGCTCCGTCTGGACCCAAACTTACCCACCTAGCTCTGCCAAATGAATCTCAAAATACATTCTCCACCACAACTTCCTGGCCTGACAGTGTGCAAGCAGATTTTGTCTGTGGTTTCACTCATTCCATGAGTTAGAAACTAGAAGAAACTGTAAGTCTAACCTGGATGTAGGCTGAAAACACAGGCCTTAAACTGGTCCAGCTAGACAAAACAGCTTTTTTATGGGTACATGGCAACATAACATCCAGTTAAAGATGCAGCAGTGATCTCTATGCTTAAGAGTGATAAATTATACACACTACTGCTTATTTAAATAAGTAGATTATATAAACTATTTAACATTCCGAGAAGTTATCCAAAACCTACACATTTCTATTGTATTATCATTCTTTTAGAACTTGTTAGATAAGTGTTTTATCAAAGAGAATTAATGCATTCTTCTCCTTGCTCTGCAGATGAGCAAACCTCCTTTCTCAATTGCAGACGTCCCAGGGACTTGCAGCAGGCACTGTCCTTCCTTCTGTTTTAATACTAGATACTCAGATAGAGTCTCTACATACATGAAACCAGTTCAAGTAAAGATTTTGCACATGAACACACTGACAACTCACAACAAAATGCAGATTCACTATAGTTTCATCGAATCATAGAATGGTTTGGGTTGGAAGAGACCTTAGAGAGTTTGCCATAAAAGGCTTTAAGCAGGAACTAGCTTAATGAAGCTGCTTCCAATTCTGGAAGTACATAAATTGATATGGTATCACAGACTCATTGCTTTAATTTAGATAACCTTTAGAAGCTTGACTGCCACAAGCATGGAAGGTGAACGCTGCTCCTGCAAGGAACGTAAGAAAGACAATATTACATAACTATAAATGCTACGGAACAAAGATTATTTGTGTCCTCCCATTAAGACATGAGCCCAAATTACATACCAAGTAAGTTTCCATTTCTGAAGTTATTGGTTAAGTTCTGCTCTCCAATGCTGTCCCACAAACCAAAAGACAAACTAAGGAGAAATGCTTCAAATTCCCAGATATGTGCTTGCTTAGATTATTCATTTTGAACAGTGTGTGTGTCATTACATTCTCTCATGTTTCTTTAGCTCTTTTTAAATTCAAGTTATGTATTTTCGATTTGGAATTTTAAGCTTTTCAACTTCTATCCTTCCTTCTAAACTAAATCACACATTGTCTTTTACAGGCTCCTGAAGCAAGAAAGAAAGCGACCATGTAGACAAAATGCCTGTTTCCAGGGTAATGAAACCTGCAGAACATGAAGACATTGAAGTCACAATGTCCTTAAAAGATTAACTTTTTTTAAGACTCACCCAGCAGCACCTACAGCTTACAGTTTTTGTCAACATCTCCCTTCATATATGAGATACCTTCACATGAGATACAATGCCTGAGTTGTCAGGTGCTTCCATGTCCTGCCCTCACTATGAGGTGGGACATGCAGCACAGGATTACTTTCAAAATTGCAGGTTTTTCTCCTGATACCAGCGATGTCAAGCAATCAGAACTCAGGTATCACAGTTCCCACTGAGACTTATGGAATTTCTTCTGTCACCAAAGGTTTAAAGCATCTAAAACATTTGAAAATGCAGATGAAGTACCTCACATACATTTTCAATCCATCATGTGCCAATGCGCAAAACAGCAAAAAGCTACAATTTAACTTTTTTGTAATTCAGCAATTCTCCTTTAAGGAACTGAAGCTGCATAAGCACTTAACTACTTTGCCTAGTATTTCACAAGGTGGCTTTATTTAAGCCACGAGCTTCAAGCATCTCTTATTTCACAGTTGCAGTGTTTGTTCTCTGTGGCAGAGATAACTTCCCCTTTGATTCCCCCCAAACGTTCCCTTATTTTTGAAACGCATAACCTGACACAGTACACGTGTGCAGCAAGTAGCATTTAAGAGTACACTTCCTGGAGTGTGCACACATAGCAGACTCCTCCAGTCTCTGCAGAAATCAGCATGCTAGTGTCTGGTTATGGTTAACACTGCCGATGAGTAATGCCACATGTTAACGATTCTGTCCTGCTCATGACTCAGTCTGCAGCTGGAGTAAGCGTGCAAAGAGGAGATGGAGCCAGCACCAGAGTTCAGTTAACGAAGAGGTTATCAAGTGCTGCAGGTTTGGTTTAGAGCCAGTGGCAGCACTCTGCCTTGCCACGTAGGCAAGGGGGAGGGTTAGAAAGCAGTCTTCCTCACCTTGCTGCAGTAGCTGTCTGCTTGAAGACGTGTACCTTTTATTTACTTTTTTTTTTTTTTTTTTAATAAGACAACCACATTCAATACAAAGGTTGCTATGCAGTAAGGCTGTATTAATCAGCAAGGTAAAAACATCCTGCAAAGGAGTCATTAACCTTTTTCAGAGATCCCTATGAAGGCCTCCAAACAGTTTCTCGATGGATATCTTATTACAGAACAGAAGAAAGTAGAAGTCTAATCTCCCTAAAGCCTCTTATTTGTAATAAGCAATAGCTCAGCCAGAGACAAGACAAGAAACTGGGGTGCAGGAATAGATGAAGAATGTCTTCTCCTCCAGCCAGGGTTCTGGCATTTACAAATTCACTGAGTAACCAACTGATGTCCAATAAAACACTCCCTGTTCAACTCTTTTAACATGACATTTGCTACCCTTCTAGTTTACAAGAGCTAGTCGTCTTGCAGTTACTACACAACTGAATGAACACCAGGACAAGTTACTCTAGCAGCAGGCTGAGCCGCAGCAAGTTTTATTTCATTGCTGAACAAGGACTGACACAAGCTCTGGACTTACAGCATTTCCAAGTGGCACAGAGGATGGATTTGACTTCAACTGCCCCACCTCTCCCCCATGGAGAAGGTTGCTAAGAGTGAAGCTCACATGCACACAAAGCCCCAAGACAGGTAAGGTTCATAGTTGCCTATTCAGGAATCCCTGACTATGCAAGGATTCAAAAAACCCATGCCACAGGGAACTACAGAAAGCACTATTGAACCCACATGAAGTTAGTATCTTCAAAATAAATAATTCTTTTTTTTTTTTTTGCCAAAGGCTGCATTTTTTTCAAATCCTACTAGGTTAAACAAACAAGGTCTGAAATCCAGGCTGTTCAGCATATCTTCTGTTACATTGTGTTCAACTAAAGACGGACTCAGTATTACAGCAAGCGCTGGGGGGAGGTGGAAGGCAGCTGGAGCACACACAGATCTTAATTAACAGGTGCAAGGTTTGAAAATAGCAACTCCTTTCTCTCAGTCTGTACCAGCTGAGAAGTCCACTCCCCAGCCTGCAGCAAGCAGGACTCCTTACACATACATGTGGCAGAGGTAAAAGTTCAGACAGATTCAGATCCCTACCAAATGACTGTAATCCAGTCAGTATAAATTATAAACCACACATTGCCACACACCTAGCGAGTTTTTTCCTGTATCTAAGTTTGTGCTTCTGAGAGGTGGCAGTATCACATTCTCACATTCTTTCTCAGTGTTACAAAGCTTATCCTAGGAGTGAAGACAGTTTGCCCTAGTTGACTTGGAACAATTTGAACTTAAATAGATTGGGCTCCAACTGATCTTATCGTTAGTATTTACTTCCACAGACACATCTGTCCCCTCGCCTCCCTCACTTTCCCTCCCCACCACTAAAAGATTGGAGAAAATTTTAAAATTCAAGTTCATCTGCTCTTTTGTGCTTATGGGCCCATCCATGTCTGATCACAGTTTAAGTTTAGGCTGTTTGTTTTTTAAATAGGCTTTGCATATTTCATTAAGTTAGAAATATCTTATTATATTTTCTATGGCTTGCACTACTTTCAATATAACTAAATTTAAGTAGCAGTATATTTTCCAAACCCACTGTCACCAGGTTCGTTCTGGACAAGACACACAAGCCAACTACCATATTAAGAATTTTTAGGCATATTGAATATAATTTTACTTCTTGTCCCAGTATCAGTGGCATTCCCTTATAACTCCTACTGAGATACCTTTAATTATCTCAGACAAGCATCCTACAAAAGCAGTGTCAGTTGTACAAAGCAGCCAGGTAAATATTTGAATTTTTTACTGTGTAACTAATGCACTTTTTCTTGCCATTTAAGTGGAAAGAGTATACTTACTGCTAGGAAGAGCATGCAGTACATGGAGAACGAAGAATGGCCAGAGTAAAATGATAGTCTGGAAGAGAAGAGAGCAGATATCTCATTATTTTTCTTTTGCAACACTCAGCTATATTAATTCATATTACACAAGTGACCTAGTAAAAATGCAAACACCTCCATGCTTTTTACTCAAGGAGACTATCTAGGCACAACAGCCATCACTCACGTCCAACAACAGCTTTTGACAAACAGTACAGACCTCAGGACCCAGCAGCCATCCTACTCCAGCGTTAAGCTGACCTCCACATCAGGCAGAAACTGCTAGCCCTCTGAAGTTTGAACAGCAAGTGAACATATCCTCAAAACTAGAAATCAAGTGTCTTTTGAAGCAGTATATTTGTTTAATCTTCTTGATAAATATCAGAATACTGCAAATATTACCAATTTTTAAAGTTACTTAGCTGGTAGTCACAGTATGTGTATGAGAACAAATGACACATTAATCACCTCAAACTAATGAGTTGCATTTGACCACAATCAAGAGGCAGTAGTTAACAACTCATATCTAGATGTTTATAGCACTTATACATTTGTTAAATGTACCACTTCATACAGACCACAATAATCTGTCACTGAAAGGTAGGGGGAAAGGCAGGAAGGCAGTTCATTAGCCAGCCAACTGCAAAAGATGACATCTCATCTAATATTTCTAGAAATAGCTTTATACTTGGCTGTCTCATTTAAAGAGCATCAACACTGTCTTCAACTTGTAAAGATTTCTAGCAGGTCCATACTGAAGGGACTCAACGGCTGATGGTGACAGTTCAGGGTGCCTTCAGCAAGGTCCTCCCTGCACAGGTGGTTTCTTCGAGGAGCTGAGTACCACAGGTGTAAAACAAATCCCACCCACCTCTTTATCAGAAAGAGAGGGCAAAACAGAAAGACATTTCTAATCCAGCCTTAAGTGGAGAGATGGAAGAAACATTAAGCTATTGTTTTCCATTTTATGCGCAGAGCTGCTTTGCAGGCTATTGGACAGGTCTCAGCCAGGCTTCTGTGTAATTCAGCAATGTAACACAGCACTCCTCGCTTAAGAGTTTGCCATATACGAACAAGGCCAACTTAAAAGTTTCATAGCTCTCCAGACTGTCCTCCACACAGGTCCCTGTTTTGATATCTCAGCCAGGCAGAGAGCCTGAGGCCAGGGAAATTCTGGGTCCAGGGAAACATTTCTACTCTTCCGACCAAGGGAACCACTTCTACTTTTCAGACAGGGTAATGAAGGCAGCTCTGATATGTAGTGAAATAATTGGGTTAAACATTCACTACATAAATACCACAAAAGCAGCAATAAAACAATCTCGTGCACAAGTGAAACTGCAAAACTTCCTGCATTAATCTGCATGCATAAAATTAAGAAACCACATCAGAAAAAAACTTACATACGTTTCCTCCATAGATTTTAGAGTTCTTGGTTTATATTTGATTCAAAGCACTGCCAATAGCTTTCAGGTTCAGACATACTAAATAAGCAGTCTTGAAAAGAGTAAGACGACTTTTGTGTGTGTGTGTATATATGTGTATATATATATTCACACACATCCCCACAAACATTTTAAATTCAGTTCTTAAATAGAAAATTGACAGTGTGTTATCTTCAGATGTTCAAAATTCCAAAACATGAAGATTACATTTCAGCTAGATGTCCCTTCTCCACTTTAGTACTCCTAACTCTTCACCAGTTAAAACCTCTGGGCCAGAGTCCACTTTGAAAGCCAATACAACAAGCATTTTGAAGACTTCTGGGTGTTTCAGACAAACAAGTCATCTAAGACATAAGCAAAGCATGCTGTTCTACAGAACAAGGAATTCCTGGCTCCTATTGACAATATTTTACCCACTGACTTTGGGGCTATTCCTGTTGTCCATAAGATGACATTTCCTGCAATTCATGAAGGCAACCTATTGATACCTGAAGGAATTCAGAAAGCTAGTAAGTGAGAGAAAGAATAAATACAATTCTTTGTTTACTTTGGAATTTCTATACCAGTTTAAAGGTATTGTTGACTACTGGCATTCTTGGTTTTAGGAATGTATTAGCACAATGCAGCATTAAGAATGCCTTGTTCCAAGATGAAGATTACAAAATCTGAATTCATTCTCATCAGAAATAGATAAGTATGATGTACATGATTGAAAACATTGTGCTTAGCACATGAAGTATTGCCAGAAATACAACTGGGACAAAGTATTGATCCAACTTGTACATTGTGCAATCCCTGTGAAATTTCTTTGGCAATATTGCTGTCTCTAGACTTCTTTAAAAAAACTGAATTTAAAAAAAAAAAACAAAACTCTTAAAACCCTTTCAGACACTTAGTTTGACAATGGAAAAGTTTCCCAATGACTCCTCAGGATGCAAACAGTATCTTTCCAAAGCCAGAAGAACATCCTGTCTATCAAACCACCCAAGTGGCTGCACAAAAGGGTTTTAAAACATGGTAATTTAAGGCCTGTTTAGCTTTCTTAAAACTTATTTTGCCACAAATTTCATACAGTTTATGATAAAGACAAAAGTAAGGATGCTATATGTTCTTTAAAAGGTTGCCGTAAAACTGATTACAATTAATCACTATAGTTTGTCATTGTAAGTCTGCATTTTTAAAGATTACCTGGAAAAATAATCCAAGTACAAACAATTCCTACAAGAAATAATTGAACTGAACCACTCAGTACCTTTAGCCAGGATTTCTACTCCCAGATAAGCAAGTATAAAACAGATTGCCTTGCAGGACTTTCCACTGACAACCACGCCATTCTGTTCTATTCCTTTCCATGTACAAAGGCAACTTAACTTAGCCTAGGGAGCAGAGCCTGCCTGACAGGAGGTAAGGTTTCTCCAATTAGTAGAAAAATGGAACATAACACACAGCAAATAAAAGGAACATTTTCTTACACTGCCACTTTTGAGAAAGAGCAAGTAAGTTCTGCTTGTCAGTATTTTGTAAAGTGCATTATTTCATAAGTGAATTACTGAATGCTGGAGCTCATTAAACAAGCTTGACGTCATGTCTCCATATAATGTGTTTCTAAGGTCACCTGAATATGCAGAAACGTTTAAGCAAAGTGCAGAAGTGTGACAGGGAAATTAACAGCCCCAGTGAAACGTAAGACTAGGAATACAGCACAGTAGAGCATTAAACAGTGAGAAACTGAAGTGTTAGAAATGTCAGTAGAAAGGGATCAATCGGAAGAAAGCATATCTTGTAGTGCCACAATAAATCTAGCAAAGGCTGAATGATAAGGCAATCTTCCCAATACAACTACTGAACTATGGAGTGATCCCTTAGAGAAAAACAGAAGGCCCAGCAAAACACTATGCACACTCCCACATCAAAGGAAATAAAACCACTCACTGGATTAGCCAGCAAGTCTTCTCTATCCTCAAATTCTCTGGATTTTCCAAGTTTGACTCAAAGCTTCCACTGACATCCATATTACGCGTTCCATTGATCTGGAGGAGAATAACTACCAGACAGAGCCACAGCTCAGCACATCTGTGTCAAGTAAGCCAGAGTGCTCCACACACTATTCAGAGAAATATTCCTAGAGGATGTGGTTTAATAAAATGCCAATCCTACGCTTAAGCTGAAGCACCATATTCTTTAAACTCAATTTTCTCTGCGTTCAGCAATCAACATGTTTTCACAGTATCCCCTCTTCTCAAGTGCCAGACTTGCATGAGTACAACTTTCAAGATCAGTGGGGGTTGAAAGGTTTGATGACCCTGAAATTAAGCACTTCTGTTATCACTGCAAGGCACATTTAAGTAAACGCACAAGCAGTCCATCTTTTTTAACAATAGCAGCAACTACTCAGAAATCTATTTTGAAAGACAGTGTTCCAAATTTCTCCACTTTGTTCCTTCTCTGTTAGTAGTTAAACCCACACTTAAGTACAAAGCCACTTACAGAGAGGAAAAGGCTGACAGAGTCTTCCCAATTCAGTAATCTTAATCTGGACAGTGTTATTCCCAAAAATTGTTTGATGTGAGACTTCATAATTAGTGTCTTGCACCATTCCCTAAACATACTTAAAGTGAGGGGTCAACTGTACTTAAAGCAGCAGCAGAGAGAGAGAAAACTTTGCCAATGCTGACAGTTAATACATTAGACTATGCCCAGTTTTTTGCAGACACTCAGTTATGCATTTTTGCTTTTATAGGCGATCTTACCAAATGCTTTCCTTACACAAATCATAGAATCACAGAATGGTTTGGGTTGGAAGGGACCTTAAAAGATAGAGTTCCCCCCCCCCTGCCATGGGCAGGGACACCCTCCACTAGACCAGGTTGCTCAAAGCCTCATCCAGCCTGGCCTTGAACACCTCCAGGGATGGGGCATCCACAGCTTCTCTGGGCAAGCTGCTCCAGTGTCTCACCACCCCCACAGTGAAAAATATTTCTTCCTAATGTCGAGTCTAAATCTACCTTCTTTCAGCTTATAACCATTGCCCCTCATCCTATCACTACACTCCCTGATAACGAGTGCCTCCCCATCTCTCCTGTAGGCCCCCTTTAGGTACTGGGAGGCCACAATCAGGTCTCCCTGGAGCCTTATCCAGGCTGAACAACCCCAACTCTCTCAGCCTGTCCTTGAACAGGAGGTGCTCCAGTCCTCTGACCATCTTCATGGCCCCCCTCTGAACTTGCTCCAACAGGTCCATGTCTTTACTGTGCTGAGGACTCCAGAGCTGGATGCAGTACTCCAGGTGGGGTCTCAGGAGAGCAGAGTAGAGAGAGAGAATCACCTCCTTTGACCGGCTGGTCATGCTCCTTTTGATACAGCCCAGGATACAGCTGGCTCTCTGGGCTGCAAGCACATATTGCCAGGTCATGTTGAGCTTCTCATCAACCAACACCCCCAAGTCCTTCTCTTCAGAGCTGCTCTCTGTCCATTCTCCTCCCAGCCTGTATTTGTGCTTGGGATTGCCCCAACCCATGTGCAGGACCTTGCACTTGGGCTTGTTCAACTTCAGGAGGTCGGCGCGGACCCACCTCTCAAAGCTGTCAAGGTC